ATGCCGTGGGGGACGGAGACTGGTTAAGGAGTTTCCTCAACAATTTCATTTGACCCGATCATGTCAGTATTGGGCTCAGCGTCGATGGGGAGGACTTTTTCCTTCCCTTTAAACGAGGCCTTGCTCATCTCCACGCATTTTTGAGACTAGCAAGGCCCGGCGTTTATGCGAGAGTCCTCGGGCAGACTCCTATTGTCCCACGTGACGTTGAGGCGCTTTTTACGAACGAGAGACATGGTGAAAATAACTGAAGTTCGATCAGAATTCAAAGATAAATGCGACGAGTTCGTGAGTGAAGGAAAAAGAGTAAAAAAATAAAATAACATTTCGAATGGTGCCTCTATTTTTCTTGAATTGTTTAGGTCCTAGCCTAATGTGTTAAGTCGCCAACAAAGACGAATTCTTCACCTTCCAGTGGTGCCGGTGTAATCGCTCAGTATGTTCTGCATATCTGGGATAGCCAAGAAGATTCGCATCCAAATCGAAGTCGAAATCAACCTCAAACACACCTCCATTTGACGACTTCTCGACAATGCCTCTCTCATCATTATCATCTGAGTCCTCAACCCATCTCTAACCACGCATCATCTCGCCTCAACGACCAACAAAGAAGTTGCTCCAATTGCATACAGGAGCTTGCCAAATTAATCTCCAGCAACCTCTCACTACATATTTACAACGCTATTTATACCCGCAAGTGTTGGAAAATATACTCTGTACAATATTATATGGATAAATATGATGAAGTAAAGAAGACTTGATATTTTACAACTATGTGAACATTGGACTTATATATACATCTTAGGGGAGAAATTCCCACTAGTCTCATGTGCCTGTCAAATCTAGTGATGGCCAGCCACCTCTCATCTACCATGATGAGCCTAGGTACACTGTAGTACGTAAATATCCAAACGTATAGGCGACAGTAGGCGCGATTAGCGCACTCGGGACATTTGTAGAGAGAGTCGATCTTGTCGGGAACCTGAGACGAAACAGGTAGTGGTTGAGTCCTAAATTCGAGAGTCAGAATTTCCAACAGCAAGGAGGAAATCAAGTCAACAAATACAAAGCCTGGGTCTTGGCTTATGGAGGACTGATGCTCTAATGGGGTTGTACATCTTGAGGAATGACAGGCGGCTTAGAAGTGGAGCGAGAGTGGAACAGGCCTTTGAAGACCATGCTGGGACTGACATTTTCGAGGAGTTTTCAACTTTGGATTTTTTGTGGGCGCCAAGACTAAGATTTCGACTAATTAGCCAGCAGGACTTCTTTTGTCGATGAGTCAACGGTACTCCCTAGCGCCCTGGACGGTACAAAAGAAGTCGGGCTAAGCTGCTATACAGCAATCACGCTCTGTCAAGACTTTCCTGACATTTCAGCACGACCTTCGGGAAGGAGTTGGAAGGAGGCTAGAAAGGCAGAGTGTGAATTTCCCGAGGTACCCACAAGTCTGCAGCGCCCAGCTGGTCGGCCTCTTCGAACGCTTCGGAAGGGTCACTATGTCTTCGGATTTAGTCCTAATGTCGGTATTAGGAGAGCTCCGCACCCAGTGGTTTTTGCGATTTTTCCCGGCTGCCATACACCCGCAAATGGCCATCGTTTCGTTGGCTGGAGAGGGGAGATACTGAAGGGCAAAGGGCTCCTCTTAGTGTATGATCGAATGAGGACTTGTGAGGGCTCGTACTTTTTGAGGGGAGCTGTATGGGAGGCATAGGAGGGGATATACTACTGGTATAGGTATCCTTGGCCTATAGGCTGAGAGGACCTGCATGTCCTACATAGTCATAGACTCAGACAGGACAATAAAATGAATTAATAATAAAAAATATAGATTCTAATTAATTTAATCTCCACACCTTCCTCTACCCTCAGCTCCGCAGACTGTTGAGCTCCAGACTCCAAGAGGTCGTACATAACCTCATAACCGTAACACTCCGTCATCCATTAACTCGACTTCGTGCGAAATATGGTCTGAGGCGTCTCCTTCCCAAATGGAGTAGGTACCCGGGCTACTCAAACTATACCGAAGACAATCACCAGGAAGCGGACCACAGTGCCATTCGTCATTGGCTTATTTTTACAGTATCAGTTTCACTTTTGCATTCGGAAGCTTAGCGCGTACAATGCTCTTCAACTTGTGAAAGTCTCTACCAAGATCTAAAATTTCATGCCCATCGAGATTGTATCCATCCTCTATGTCATCTGGTAAACTTATCCCGCTTTATCTCATGCCTTTCCTTAAGGTCTGTCTGTTGTGACAGGAGATATTGGTAGGGGCTATGGAAGCGGTTACTGTGACAGAAGTAGGAAGCACCTGTGGTGAGTGCGTGATCAGGACTGGAGTACTGAATGTATATATAAGGAGGCAATACTTCCGCAAATAGATTGTAAATCAACCATCTCACTACTGTCCATTCCAACGCTTCTTCTCACTACAGCCATATCAATTATATCCGCGCATCCATAATCATTTGCATCCATTTCAGGTATTCCTCTGTCCCCTCATGACCTCGTTATAATAACACTGTCTCCTAAGTTTGTGCGCCACGCTTTGTTTTCTCCATCGGGTAAAATTGTCGGTATGGGCATACATATAATGGCCGGCTGAGGCCAGGGACTCATCAATGAGAGGTGCAGCCTTTAAATTAAGTATATATCAAGTCTCAATTTTAAACTCGATGAGGCTTAGGTAGGAGTCGGTCTTTTTGGGAGTGAGAGATTGATATGGCGGATTATCTTGAATCATTGCCTCGCGGGCCAACTGCATTGGTATTACGAAATTTTACTGGTCTTGGCTCTGGGAGAATATTTTATTCTCAAGCTCGTAGAGTAAGCCGCGTGTAGGTGTTCACTCTCTGCTATCATAGCTCCCTTTAAATCTAGTCAATCACTAGAGCCTCGGGACAAATTCTGCAGGAAATAGAGTCCCTTTAGTTTAGACGTACATGTCCTACATTTTGTCTAATTTACTGACACGATCTAACATATATATTTGAAGTTTAGGCATATCATATATCGCATTTCGGGCTAGTTAGGGATGCATGAGGGGCTGTATGGTGTGGGCACGAGGTTTTATTAGGGAATTCTCTATGCCAAGATGGCGCCACTATCGTTTTTATTATGGCATAGGCTCTGTGACGCTTTTAACTGTACTTCAAATACGCAACCATAATTTTTTTAGCGACAACATTAAAATAAAATCCAGTGCAGCAAAGTCAAGCAGACTGTAAGGGGAACCGAGAAGAGGCACGCCAAGAATCGATAGCAAGACATTGAAGAATAGGCCAGACTTTGCGGCCTGGAGAGTGCGAAAGGGAGACAAAAAGAAGCCGGCTGGGTGGCCGCGTTCCAGGAGTGGAAAAACTCATGGACACGTCCAGCAAACGAGATACCATCTGGTCATCGAGCTTCGGCAGACCCCAAACATTGGAAAGCCGCAAATATTATTACAGATGAGACAACAGGCAGAAAAAGGATTACACATAGAAACACACCCTCAGATATCCACCGGAACCTTAGTAGGGCCCAAAGCAGTATTGCAGTTCAGATAAGAAGTGAGCACATTGGTCTCAATTCTTATCTGTATCGAAGGAATGTCCCTGGAGTGATTAATCCAAAATGTCAGTGTTGATATCCGTCTCAAAATGCCAAACACGTGGTCAAGAGGAAGAGAAGAGGTGCTTCGATAGGCAAAAAATAGGTACTATGCGGCAATGATGAACAGCCCAGATGATTTAGAGAGAATCACAAAATTGATCCTGGCAAAAGGCTGGTTTGAACAATTCCGGCTTGCAGGAGAAGTAGAAATAGCATTGGACGAAAAGATGAGACGATGTGGACAAGGATAAGACGGATTTCACACTGTATAAACAGTGTAATCGCACTTCCTGTAGGAGACCTCAGAAAACAAATTGTTATATTAACTAGACTATATAGGAGCAGGACGATGGATACTCTTGGGGAAGTTATGCTCACAGTAGGTCTCTATAATCGCTGTCGCGAGTGTTCTCGTGATATGTAAGACTTGACTCTATATTCTCGTATAAAGGAAACTTAGGTCTAATGAAAGGACGGAGTTTGAGACCTCCTTATATCTTGCTCCAGACTTACTGTGTTGTTCACAGCCTATTGCTAGAACATTCCCTTGTGATATCATTTCTCTCCTACGAGAAATGACCAGCTCGTTCTCTCTCAGTCCATCAGTCTCTCGCTGATTCCGTTATCTCTATTCTATCGAGTTCTAGTTTTGTCCATGATACCCACACATGCATTACACACTGAACACCCCGCGGTTTAGTTTCACAGTCACGTGCATCTACTATGACGTGATCTAAAGCATGTACCATGGTAAGTTACATGGACAATACAACACAAATAGACACGAGACAGACAGTTGTGAGGGGTTTTTACCGAATTTGGTTTCTTCCTGTGTAAATATTATAGCTAGATATACCTGCATGAGCCCATAGGGTACCTGAACGGGCTAAATGAAATCAAATCAAAAATAAAATTGATTTAGCCACATTCTTCTTTCATTCCAGGAATATTTCACCCATTTCATTGCGTGATGTTACCAGCAGGGGTTTCTATGTATATATTACCATGCCTGCGACAGTTCTCTAATCGCACATTGTGTTCTTGTTGAGTCTAAGGTTACATTAGGGCATAAGTTTTCTCTCTACTTATAGGTTGCAAGCGAGAAAGCTGGGTATATAATTCTCAATGCCGTGGTGTTAATACCCGTGGACGTTTAATATTATTGTTGTAAAGACAATGTAACAGTTTCTTGTAATAGAGTGACGGTTGATTACATTAAAGTTAAAGCTTGAAAAGCCCATCACATCAAGCTAGCTCAAAAAACCGTACTGTTGTCATCTCAAGATGTATCTTTCCGGTAAGATTAGTGATTGAATTTGGTACTGCTTATTATTTGTATGTTCACAACTCAACTTCCTTCTAGTGCCTATGTCCTGACTCTAGTATTCTCTCATCTGGTTCTATTACCTTACCCTAACTCCCTCAACTTTCTTAACCCTTCTGCCTTCAACATAACACATTAAACCGCCTGCGCCCGCAAAAAGACACGCAAGGGTTACAAACAGCCCTGTTGACCAGCCCGGTCTATTCAAACGATTTAGACCCCACATTAAACCTGAGAGTACAGCTTGGAAAATAGTATTCCATACCATGGCCCAGATAACAAAATCAAGCTTCCAAGTCGCTGTCGGTGAAGCTCGGACTCCTGTAAGGGGAGCATCGGGAGTTTTGGACACGGGAAAAGGAAGTACAGTCTCCGATACAGTGGCTAGTTGTTCGTCACAAGGTCCTAGATCAGCCAGAATATCTTGACTACCAGGTAGTCGGAACCAACTTCGATTTATACCTGCTAAACTCCTCAAGCCGATTCTTTTTTTGTAAATACGATATTGCATGAGATAACACAGATCTCGAAATCGCCACGGGATCGTGCCAAACCCAGTGACGCAAAAGAGCGCGTTAAGAACCTGTGAATCAATTTCGATCCAGATATTACGGGCAGAGTTAATATCGTCGCAAGAGGGTTTGCACATTTTTGGTGCGGCATTGCAAAGAAGTAAAAAGAGCATTCCACCCCAAGCAACAATATTGAGACCGTAAATAGTGATCAGGAAACCGAGAGGCGTGAAAAAAAATTTACAAGGCCTCTTTAGTCTGGAGGTCATTGAGTTTATTCGCAGGAGCTTGATAGAGTGGTTATTTTCGCTATCGAGTGTTTCATTTCTGTTTGAATCATATTTTCGATTGTCCGGGGGAAGGGTTACGTTGCTATTTTCTTGAAGTTCCCATCTATCCCCTTCTACTTCTACTTCACCTGGTTCTTGGTGAAAGGCCGCACTATTATTCATATTATTGATATATTCGTAAACTTGTTAGCCCAGAAGCTAATTATTTTTTAAATTGTTTGTATTTTATTTCTAATGAAGGCTAGTCACAAAGTCAACGACCGTCATTTGCTCTAGGTGAGTTGAGATGAAAAGCTACAACTTTAATGACAGCTGTTTGATTATTATTATCTGGAAATCCCTTATTAATGCCTCTGCCACATAGAAAAATAAAGATTCATAGACAGCGAGGGTTGGGAAAAGATACGAGATAAGCCAGACTATGTGATTGCTGAAAGAAAGTTGTAAACCTCAATAGCATTTTGAGTTTATGTGAATGGAATGCAAGTAATACTATGATAGATTGGCGTGGTTACAAGAAACCGACCCCAAGAAATGTGAACTACATGAACCTATGTAGAATCTGATACAAAGCACAGGCCGCGTGACGTAACTTACAAGGATTTAATATATAAAAGGTGGCGATTTCGAATTCACGTGATAAGGCTGTGATATCCAAAGAAAATGCTTGAAGCTTGTTGTAGGGCCATTTATCTTTACCAGCAGCAACGTACTAGGACCCGAGTTCTCGGTTCCCCCGATAGATATCTACCTGAAACAATGTAGAGTCCAACATGTCCGACTATCAGAAAGACTACCTATCAAGAGAACGATACTATCTACATGCAGTATAGTCAAGCAGATCACAAGGGGAACCGAGAACAGGCACGACAAGAATCGAAAGCTAGACATTGAAGAATGGACCAGAATTTGTGAAAAGGAGAAAGCGAAAGGGGGGGTAAAATGATGCTGGTAAAGTGGCCTCGTTCCAGGAGTAGAAAAACTCAATGACCATCAAGGAAATGAGAAACTATCTGGTCATCGAGCTTCAGCAGACCCTGAACGTTACAAAACCGCATATATTATTACAGATGAGACTACAGGCAGAAAAAGAATTACCTATAGAAATATACCCTCAAATACCTACAAGAACCTTAGCAGGGCCCAAAGCAGTATCGCAGTACAGATTATGGTTGAGACCAATGTGCTCAATTCTATCTGTATCGAGGGGGACTATTCTTAACACCTGTCAGTGGTGTTCCCTACGAAGTCCGCCAAAGTTACGCTTCCGATAACTCACAAGATGACCAAGACGACGATAATGATGCTGGGAATGAAGAAAGATAACGCGGTACCAAACGCTATAATGGTAGTCAGAGAAGCCCTCATTACATTACAACATGTGCTACCCACCGGCAGTCGAACAAAAAGCTCATGAAAGCAAAGTAAAAGATCTTTCCGCCCTCTAGAAAAGCAGATTTCGACTCTTCTATAATATCGTCCCTTCTAATACTTACTGCTGAACAAAATTGCCAGGAGAGCGTCAGAAATATATGAGTTACCCGACAACCCCCATCCGTAACGACTTTTGGATGCTGGGCTAGGCTCTATAACGGCAGTCATTCTCGACCAAGACTTTTCTGACATCCTATCACGACCTATGACTTATCCTGCGGCATGAATCAGAGGAGGAGTGAGGAGGAGGCTAGGAAGGTTGAGAGACACTCTTAGGAATACACAGGTCTGCTGCGCCCGGCTGGCCGGCCTCTTCGTCATAGGAGAGCCCCGCAACCAGTGGTTTTTGAGACTTTTCCCTGCAGCTACACACCCGCAAATGGCCATCGTTTAGTTGGCTGGAGAGGGGAGATAATGACGGGATAACAGCTCCTCTTAGTGTGTACTCGAATGAAGACCTGTGGGGGTATTACTGCCGGAAAGAAGTCGTGAAGCAGGCATAGGAGGGAGTACACTACCAGAGGCATAGATACTCCCGGACTGTAGGCAGAAAGGACCTACATGTCCTTATATAATCATAGACTTCATAGGCCAACAAATAAATACGCACAATACACACACTATGAAATCTAATTTAACCCTATTAACGCCCCTGATCACTGTTATTAGACCGAAATATCTCTATATAGATCATACTTTTGCTTCTGGACTGGGCTCATACTTAAGCAAGCATAATTCTGCTAACACGCCCTCTCTGTTCTTAAGCGATAATCCATTCATCAACCCCAGTTGCTTCGTGTAACTTCGGAAAGAATCGGTACCAGGGTGTTTTGTTAATCCAACTGCGGGGTTAAAATAGAATAAATAAATTATTCAATTGTCCTCATTTGGCACCTTGAGGTCCATGCAGGTTTTAATCGGAAGATATGTACTGTAAGTAGAATGACTCAATTTGATCTTTGGAAAACTCACATTCAGATTTAATTTGCAGACATCTCTCGAAGTTAACCCTTATGGCGTAAAACCTCTTCCGTGCATACCCACCACAGGGAAAAGCGTGAAAAACCTGTCGTTGTCCGAGTGTGCTTATATGTCGGAAATCCTGACTCTCGAATTTAGGACTCAACCACTACCTGTTTCGTCTCAGGTTCCCGACAAGATCGACTCTCTCTACAAATGTCCCGAGTGCGCTAATCGCGCCTACTGTCGCCTATACGTTTGGATATTTACGTACTACAGTGTACCTAGGCTCATCATGGTAGATGAGAGGTGGCTGGCCATCACTAGATTTGACAGGCACATGAGACTAGTGGGAATTTCTCCCCTAAGATGTATATATAAGTCCAATGTTCCCATAGTTGTATAATATCGAGTCTTCTTTACTTCATCATATTTATCCATATAATATCGTACAGATTATATTTTCCAACATTATGTCACCACAAAAATACAATATCACCGCGAGAGAGACTGGTGTATAGGTTTTACTGGAATCCAATCGGCTTTCTCCTGCCTCAAATGGGGTAGATGTTCATGCTATGCAGAATTTACTTAGGAGAACGACCCGAATAGTGTACCACTGCACCATCCAACTTCATATGCGGGCTTACTGCTGGTGTCAATCTGTCTAACACAAATATTCTGATCCCGAAGTTTCTGTGCAACATAATGATAGTTGACACGTATGTGACGTCGACCCAACGTCATGCCTCCGTTAGTAGTACAATTGATGGCTTCTGTATTGTCTTCTAACACTGATATAAGTCTAGCAGGAATTTCACTTAATTCGGTCAAGAAACTCCGGATCTATGCGCAATCCTTTGCAGCTTCGAACATGGCAACATATTCGGCTTCGCAAGTCAATGTCGAGACTGTACTTTGTAGTTTGGATCTCCAAGTTATGGGCATTCCAGTCATGAGTAAAACATATCCCATCGTGGACTTTGCTGTGTCATGAAGATCTGTAAAGCTGAAATCAACTGCACAAAACACTCCGAGCACTCAATACTCATTCAGATGCCGATGGTTTTTCTCATAGTAACAACCTCTATCTCTGCGGCTAGATAAGTACTGAGGGATCTTGATCATATGTTGAGTGTGTTGGGTCGATGGGTTTCCCATGAACCGTGCCATCTGGGATGTAGCCTGAGATGTATAGCATCGTATCATGCAAGATCAAAAATTGTTCTTGCCAACCAATTTTTGGAATTCAAATTGATCTTTCGCGGTTGCCTTGCTCGAATTTTTTTTCATATCTACTCTACTGCTGGATGACATCGGAGTCTCAACAACTTTTGGTGAAAACTCAAATTCTAGGAATAAACTTTCGAGGTACAGTTCCTGGTCCAGTCTTATACTACCCTTTGGCTGTGATCTACGGATTCGGACTCCAAGGAACCAGTGCGCATAGCCTGGGTCGTTTAATGTGACCTCACTGTTCAGAGATTACGATAGCGTCTTGAGTTCACTCATATTTGGAACTATGAACAGGAAATCGTCGACATAATATGCCACGATTGTAACAGTTCTGATAAATAAAGCTTGGGCATTTGTATGTCGAAAGGTTAGTTTATTTACTAACGGAAGAACAAGACAACTGCTACACTCAGCGCCCTATTTATATACATGATCCTAATATTTCAAACACTAGTCTCTGTCCTCTAGTCCGGCTCCCATTATTAAAGTGTGGGCTAGTTGCCAACGATGTTTCGTGCACGGGCAGTACCAGACTTTCAATACAAGCGTATCTTAGCGCTGAGGTAATGAGTATGCATGAGATGAATAGCACAGGCTACAGGCAAACTACCGGATTACTAGCCGCCACAACGATAATTCTCCTCTTTTTGCTGATGTAGATAGCGTTATCAGACATCAGACATTGATAGCCTTTTTCCATCATAATACCCCTAAGCTTATCTTGCCAGCAGGCTCCTGGCTGTTTGAGATCATACAAATGTCTTTTGAGCTCAGCCACACTGTTGTCAGAAGATCTAAGACTCGATGCAACTTCTTGGTGCGCTTCAAAATATTCTTTCAAGATTTGGAACCTCTCCATAAAAATAGTTTCCTTCAAGTCGCCCGCAAGGTATGTAGTTATGAAACGAGCTTAAAGAATGTACCGACCTTTTATTGCAGCCAACGCCATCAGACATCTCCAACTAGCTGACCTTGTTGTTGTTGATGTGGTTTCATTGAAGCCAATACTTTTTGTCTGGGTAAATGCTTTAGCAACTACTCGGGCCTTATACTTATCGAGTTCCATATTCGATTTGTATTTCATTTTCAACATTCATTCTGATTTCACAAGGCGTCCTCTTTCTTCCACGACAGTTCGAGGTACGAATTTAAAGGTTCCCCCGGACAAGCAACTATCAATTTTCTGATTGATGGCCTTTGTCACAGATCAACTATAGAAAGCAAGGAGCATTTGTGTGGATGATGGTATTTTATAATTTAACTATGTTTACCTAAGTTCTACATACTAATCCAGGTATATATACAGATTTATTACATTCTAAGTTCTTCCCTCCATGGTCAGCTTATTTCTAGATGATTCCAGTTGCTACTCTAAGGGTATAATTTCTAGCAGCTTCTCCAAGGTTCAGTATCAGTCTTACTCACATGGTGACTTTTCTAGTCCCTTCTTAGGAGATTCTAATATCTTTTATGTGGTATTTGCGCCTGCCCATTCTCTAATGGTTGTACGCCAGTACTTGCCAGTACTGGCTATAGGAAATACCGGCTTTGTAGCCGTTACAGCCTTTATCCTCTCGCGTCTATCATTACTTTTCATTCCATCAGGAAACGAAGGCTCGTCTGGTGATGATTTAACAAAGTACGATGATACACTTGGGTAATTCACCATTATACGAAAGAGTTCATCACCGTCACTGTGCAGGCCATATCCCTGTTTATTTAGTGCTTTCGTGTTGTTTCCGCTAAATTCGTCTGATAAAAACGGGCCAGTTAAATTGATTTTTCCAAAGTTTCGTCCTGTTATTGGGTCACATGTGTCCTCGGAATTGATAGTAGAGTTTTCGGATACATCAAGTTCATGAGGCACTACTGCTATCTCGTTGTCTGTATTCAGCGGTGCATTGAGAGATATCATTTGATGACACTCGTAGGGCTGCTGAATCGCGCGCTTGGGGCGACCACACTCTGTTGGCAATATTGGCTGTGGCTCGTCATCTTGAGGTATGTTATAATCCTCGTATCTTGCATAATCCTGTTTTCCTAACCAAGTCTATTTTGGACATGTTTTGGTAGCGATCGAATGATTTCTCTGGGGTCTGCTGCCCAATCAAGCCCCAGACCAACGTTTTCATACGCTACAACTTTAGGTGACACGATAATCCTTCCACTGTCTAGTAAACAAAAAAACTTTTTTTTCCCCTTTAACCAAAGAAGATACTTTTGGTGCCATTGGCGTCAAGTTTCTCGCTTGCAGTACGATGAACTACGTCAATAAGTGTAATGCACTGGGTCTCAGGAATCCAAAAATGATCAGCCTTGGTTTTCGTGCAATCGGGGTCAATCTGTGACCAATTTACTTTCCAGGGTGTGTTGGAAAATATACTCTATACGATATTATATGGATATATGTGATAAAGTAAAGAAGACTTGATATTATACAACTATGGGAACATTTGACTTATATATACATCTTTAAGGGTAAAATTCCCGCTAGTCTCATGTGCCTGTCAAATCTAGTGATGGCCAGCCACCTCTCATCTACCATGATGAGCCTAGGTACACTGTAGTACGTAAATATCCAAACGTATAGGCGACAGTAGGCGCGATTAGCGCACTCGGGACATGTGTAGAGAGAGTCGATCTTGTCGGGAACCTGAGACAAAACAGGTAGTGGTTGAGTCCTAAATTCGAGAGTCAGAATTTCCAACAGGGTGTTCTCCTATTCTCTACAGGACTTTGGGATGTGCAGTTCATAGTGTAATACCCCATTTCCAATATGCAATTCCAGCAAACCGATGGAACTTTCATTTGAATACTGCTACATTGAGCTCCGTCCTGTATGAAACGAATACCCCTTTCTGATACAATTATTAAACTGACTGTTTGGTGCAGAAATTATCACAGCAAGGACGTATTAAGTCGTACTTGCTGTAGTAAAACAGTTCTGCGCTAGTATCGATGCAGGATCTCTGTAGGTGCACTACTACATGTAACTCTTAATTCACTTGTAGCCAGATTCCTGGTTTAATGTAGCCATGTCTGTTTCTTATCTTAGTCATGGGGGTTCACTAAAACACAAGGCTCAAACTTCATTTGGATAACCTTGTCAAGTTGAGACATTGGCACGTACCTCATCAATCCCCAAACTTTCGTCATGCCATGTTTGATTCCTGTATATGGATTTAGTCTCTCCTACCTCCAGAGATCTTCAGTTAATTGTATTAACTGAATATCTCTGAAGGTTATATTCATCACTCCTCTCGTCAACTTCACAGCCTTATATCTAAAGCTCCGTTCACCAGTTCCTGTACTCGAATACCACTCTTCCTTCCTCTCCAGCAGCCTAAAATCCCTCTCGATCTTTAACCTCAAAACATTTGTGAATTTGATAAGGCTTAGATAGGAGTCGGTCTCGTTGTGAGTGAAAATTTTATATGGTGGAGAATTTTTTATCATTGCCACTTGGGTCAACTTCTTTGGTATTGCGAAATTTGACTAAACTTGGCTCTAGGAGAATGTTTCACTCCCAAGTTCGTAGAGGACATCGCGTAGATGTATTTAGTCTTGCCCTCCGGATTAGATATGTTAGACACTGAGGGTCAAATGAATGGTGTAAAGCATAAGTATATTGATCAAATCTCTCCTACTCCTCTACTCCTCTCCGGCCTTGGTGCAATATAGCCATCTAAAACTATTAACAGAAGAGAAAATATTCTCGTTTCCTTAAATTAAATATGAACTAAATTACATGTGTTGGAGATAAAAAGATCTCAAGTTGGGGCTTTGAACATCCTGATCACCATATCCCTGGTGAGATATATCTATGCTCGAGTAAGTTAATCCGATAGGATGTGTTATCTCAATTCCCAATAATTCTCATTCCGAGATTCGGTAAGTTCCAAACAATCAACTGTTTGACGAGATGTTATAATGCTGTGACTCCATCTTAAAACGAAGTAATTCATTGTCCATTCTTCTATTCGCTCTAACCCTTAAAAGATTCACGTGACTTTCACACAGAGCCTTCTCTAACTTTTACAACAGTGGATGTATGAGTGAATGTTTATTCATGACGGGCACAAGCCTAGCAATCATAGAACATGACACGGAGAAGGCTAGTCCTTCCCTGACGACTATATACGACGATGACTCAGTTTGACATTTGGACTACTCACGTAGTGGGTGCATTCGATGTTACCACTTGAGACCTTGGTGCTAGGGACTTTCACCCTTCCCTCAACCGTTAATATCCACCAAAGGGAAAACAAGAAAAATCTTTGGCTACCCTAACATACCTTTGTCATCTTATATATAGCTATCGCGCGGATATAGCCTCACATTCCTCCTTTTCTCGAGTGAGGTAGGTGTCCAGGCTACCCAGACTTTAATTCGGGGACATGACGACCAGTAGGCGGACCACAACACCTTCCATCATCGCCTGTATTTAGAGTGTCGGTCGCACTATCTAAAATCATTTCCTCTGCGCCCAAAGACATCCTTAAGTTGAAAATACTCAAAAAATGTAAGTCACAGCTACCTTTCCTCATTTAAGATGTGGAGCCCCATTACAGCAACAGTCCACCATAGACCAAGACCAGAGCTTTGTAGATTATGACTTAATTTCCTCCTCACGAGTATACATTGCATCGTAACTTTATAGTGGGAGATGGCCGTTTCTTGATGAGGCAAATGTGCGATTGCTATTGGAGTAACGCTATTATCGGTAGTTGAGGCGAGGTAGAGTAAGAAGATTGAGGTAGATGACTCGCGTGAGAAAGATAGGTCCATCATTGACGAGAAGTCCTCAATATTAGATATGCTTGAGGTTGCTTTCGACTTCTATCCGGTTGCGATTCGTCTTGGTTATCCCAGATATGCAGAATGTAATAAGCGATTTTACTGGCTCCTCCGAAAGGTTGTGAAGATGTCTCTGCCAGCGAGCACGTTCACCATATTAGTCGATGTGCCAAACGCACTGACTAATTGCACAAGACCCGCCGATTCGCTCGACGCGCATTGGCGCGAGGAACAAATCTAAGTGTTTAACAATTTCAAGCATCATTAGTGACCTATTCCAAACGCAGGAAGTCCTTATTCATACTAAAATTACCAACTATAATCCTGTGGCTAATAAAACACTGTAGAAAAATAATGAGGACACAAGATTTAACGTCCTAGTACCGAGTGAAAGTTCTATCATCTCTTGTTCGGGTTAGAAATAATTCGCCATGATCCTCTAAATATTACCTCTATTATCATCTGTAGCGTAAGATTTTACATCTCTATATTAAATATTTGCCTACAAAACTTGTTTACCATGTCGCTTATCAGCCAGTCAACTAGTTATCTAAAGTGCTCTACAATAGTTACTAACTTTTCAATACAGCCATCGATTCAACCTATGAAATTTATTATACGCCTACGTGAATTTAGAGCTCTGATATTTAAATTCACCTCTACCGTATATGTGATATCTGGACTCACAACAAGCTTTTGGAATGACTTCGAACCGAGAGATCGAGGATCCATGGGACTGGGACGTTGATAGAGTGGTGCAAGAACTTTGTACCACAAACCGCACATGGCAACCACAGTCTTTGGCCATGCCGTCAATTTCAGATCCGAAATCTTTGGAACGTATTCTTCGAGAACAAGAGGTCACTGGCTGTGTTATTCTCGAGGATATCGACATGAATGTCTTAAAGGAAGATTTTGGCATCAAAGCTTTGGGCCGCAGATCATTTATCATGTCTGCAATAGCTCAACTAAGGAAAAAAAGCCTCAAATACAATGCCCAAGTTTCTCAGCGATCGTCAAATATCGTGGGAGCTGACTTAACTCACAGCATACAAAGGGTACTAAACTACCTCCCATGGGATAGTGTAATATGGCCATCTGCACACACTACTGAGTCACCTCGACAAACAAAACATGCCAATAATTACTATGGGCTATCACCAAATGAATGTGTTACGGCCTCATGTCCGGAGCTTACCGCAGGAAGCAAAAATATCGATACCACAGATAATTGCCAAGCTGATGATTGCGCAGAACCTAATCCAACAAGGCACTCCTTAGCTACAGATGGTCAAAGTCTGCCCCCCGAAATTCGTGGGATTAAAAACAATGTCCCTGCTCTAGAAACCCCAGAATCTCATCTTAAAACTTCTAATGAAATAGGGATGCATAATGAACTCGGTGCTAGTCTAAAGAAGAGAAAGCGAATCGTGCCGGAGCTAGTTTCACCTTACGTTCGCCAAGAAAGTCGTAAAGATTCCTCAGTCCTAAATAAACAAATCGAAGAACCGAAAGATGACAATGAATTTTTCATTGACAGCAGTCAAGATTATTCCAAGCTATCCATCCCCCATACTGGTGTCCAATTTTTCGACTCCGATGGTAGGAAAAGAATTATCCCATTTGTACAAGCCAATTCAAATCCTGACAATCATATATCCAATTCCATTGAAAAGAATTTGAAGAACTCGGTAATAGTCAGAGACAGCGTATCAGAGTTTTGCGGAGCCGAGAAGAGTAAAAAAATGAAATCAAGACGCCAAAATGCTTACATGGGACGAAAGAAGATGCCTGTTGACACAATATTCTACGAGGAGACACCAGTTGGCTGCAAGCTATCTTGTTCATATGCTGAAACTGAGTTTTACGTTGTGTCAAAGCAAACAAACAAAGGCCGACGTCTATTTGTTCATAAAGCTTTAAAATTTTTCCTTCGCGCACAGCGACAATATTTTTACGCTGACGGGAACCACTATTATATAGTAGTTCCATACTCTGAAAAACTTGTACCCAAATTTCAAAAACAATCTTTCACATTATATCGATTCGATCTTGATGAAAACGTAGTTGCTCAGCGTGAAGTTGATATGAAACCATTCATCAAGAACATTCGGTCTAGAAATAAAGAGTTCCAGGTCAATTTCGGCCTTTTCAATCAAAGCTTCCTAGACTATGTAGGCTCAGGCGGAAACTGGAACTATAACTTGCTAGAGAAGTATAAACACCTAGAGGATGATGATAAAATACTCCCACCTTATGGTGAATCTGATGAAGATAACGAGTATGACGAAGCTACATGGAAAGAAATTGAAGAAGAGTTTGGCAAACGGCATAGACCTAGACAAAGACTGAAAAAACCTCACATTAGTATAGATGAGGTCATACAAGCCATTGATAATAGTGTTTCGGAGATCGTAAGTATATGGAAAGCAAAGGATGTCATTAAGAGGAAAAGAAAAGCATATCGGATATGGACTCAATCAAGGCGGCTCCAAAACAAACACGAACAGATCAGAGCGGCTCAAATTGATCTTAATCACACACAAGAATATTTAACCAAAATGCGAAATACGATCTTGTCTGATGTTTGGACAAGTCAAGCACAGGTTGTCAGACAGGTAGGAAGTATGAAAGCCGCCCTATTTGATCAGGAGGACTTGAAGTGGAAGATATTCACGCTGAAGCAGAAAAAACAACCGGAAAAAATACCACCATCTCTGTCAATGGCTAAATCCAAAAAGCTTCCCGACAAAGTCGATGACGTAGACGGCGAGAATATTAGTGTCAGTGATAATGAAAGTTTTGATGATTATGATGAGGATGACATGGAGGATTTCATCGTTGAGGACGACCCTCTAACAGTTTCCGAGGAAGATCTACAAGAGCTCAACCTTGCTGATACAGAAAGTGATTATTTTTCTCCATCAGACAACAATTTCTTATCTAAAACCGCCCCAACTTTGGCTACAAAATTCCAAAGTGATAAGTATTCTCAAGGCTCACCTCATATTACATCAGACCATAATCCAGCTATCCAAAATTACTTATCTGAAAATAAAGCAATGTCGCATTTGAAGGAAAATTGTGAACCATCACATTTTCTAACGAGTCGTCAAACCCAACCCCCAGCTGTATCTAGAGAACATAGTCTTCGGAGGTCTCTTAACTCTTTCACAGGCCATTATGTTGACCTGACTTCGAATCTTTCTGACGATGCCACTTCAAAGAAAAACTCCGAGAATTCTTTTCCTGAAAACTCTCCTAAAGCTCCTTTGATAGACATGACTTTGAACTCCTCTGATGAAGATACACCAAAAGATTCCCAGCTGGTGAGCTCTTCTATGCCCCAAAATGTAAGAGCGAGACGCTCTAAGCAGCCCAGTCTTTCCGCGCCGATCCCTACTCGTTGTTCCAAGAGGTCGCTTAAAAGTTTTGAAGCTGTATCACCCGCACCTGATGAGCTGCCATCATACGATAGTCCTGAGTTAATATCAAAATACTCCTACCATGTATGGCGACAGCTTGGTGATAGAAATAGATTACTGATTAAATTCTTTTATCAGTGGAACTCTAAACTACTATTCGATACACTCCAAATTTTCGTTACCTTCTCCGCGGAAGAGCTATGGAATGAACTGAATAAGTTAATCGATGCTTTATCTACGGGACTGATAGGTAGCATAGAAGAAAGAAGGTCAAAAGGACTTACACATATTATCTATCTTTTCGAAATGTTCATTGACTGCAGATATCACTCAATTAGACCTCATCTAAATGAAAAGCAGTTAAAAAAAGTTCAACAAGCTGGACCTGCTCACTTTCATTCTTTTTATCAATTGTGCACCCGTATGACCCAATATCTTAACCCTCATTCTCAGGAGTCGGAACAAGCTGAAGTACACTCTCCGACAGAGGATGATAAAGATGAAACTATATCTAGTACTGAGCCTAGTCCGCGCGCAAAAAGAAAAAAGATACTGCATGAAAACAAGGAAGCCCGAGATATGAGAGAGCAAAACCTCCGTCGTCTTGCTCAACAGGATGAGCGACGGAAAAAACTTTACGCTAGTCTCGCCAAAGCAAATGATGACGAGGCAATTGTTCGTAGTCAACTTATTGTCAACGATGCTGCCGCTGAAGGTCAGAAATACATATATATAAATGATCATATTTCAAAACGAATCAAAAGACATCAGGTTGAAGGTGTACGATTCATGTGGAATCAGATTGTGACTGTTGCAGACGAAGAATCTATGCAAGGTTGCCTGCTTGCTCATACTATGGGCCTTGGTAAAACAATGCAAACGTAGGCTTCATCCGTTCTTTTTCACAAATTGAGTATACTAATATAAGTAGTATTACCCTTCTCGTCGCTATTGCCGAAGCAACCTGCTCTGCAGATCCATTGGTCTCGTCTCAAATACCTGATTGTCTACGCAAATCAAAGACTCTAATTCTATGTCCCCCATCTCTTGTGAATAACTGGATGGATGAGTTATTAGTCTGGGTACCCAACAATCTGTTAGGTGAGCTGAGGAAAGTCGACTCATCTATCAAATATCTACAGCAAAGACTTCAGACGATTCATGATTGGTATGATGAAGGTGGTGTTTTAGTTATTGGATATGAAATGTTTCGCGACCTTATCAACTATAAAAATAAAAGTATAAGCGAGCCAGAGAACGATCAAGTTTCTCAGTGGCTTCTGGAAGGACCCAATATCATCATAGCCGACGAAGCACATCGAATGAAGAACACGAAAGCAGCAATAACTATAGCCGCCTCTAAGTTTAGGTCTAAAAGTCGCATTGCTCTAACAGGATCCCCTCTCGCCAACAGTGTCGAAGAATACCATACCATGATTGAGTGGGTGGCTCCAAATTACTTAGGTATTTAGTACGGGATAGTGTACCCTCAATTATAAGCTAATATTATGCAGGGCCAATTGTGGAGTTTCGAGCAAAGTACGTTGTACCGATTCAGGCTGGAAACTACCAAAATAGTACATCTTTCGAACGTCGGAAGAGCCTCAAAATGTTGGGTGTTCTATCTGCAGATCTTGCGCCGAAGGTTCATCGAGCAGATATGTCTGTTTTGAAGAATGATTTACCCCCCAAGAAAGAATTTGTGATAACAGTACCCCTGACTGACATTCAAAAGGAAGCTTATTCAATTTTCGTTAGATCTATGATGGCAGGAAAAAATTATGCTACCACTAAATCAGGTGATGTTGCTACAACTACTGTGTGGCACTGGTTAGCTGTACTATCATTGTTATGTAATCATCCTGAGTGCTTCAGAAGGAAACTTTTGAAACGAAAAGAAGAGGCTAGAAATGAAGCTGCCGACTCAGTTCATGGAACTGATAATGAAGAAGGGGTCTTCGATCTGAATGCTCCGATCTGGAAAGTAGGCGTCTCTCAAGAACTTGTTGATGCGGAAAATAAGATTTTTGACTCAAGAACATCTTTAGATTCTGTTCAGACTTCCAACAAGGTCTTACTTCTCTGTCAAATTCTAGACTCATGCAAGGCTGTCGGCGAGAAAGCACTCGTATTCTCTCAGTCAATCCCGACGCTTGATTTCCTAGAAGATACATTCAAGCGACAAAACAGGAACTATGCAAGACTGGATGGATCAACAAATATATCTAAGAGACAAGGACAAACTAAGGACTTCAATAACGGAAATACCAACGTCTTTCTTATTTCCACAGCTGCTGGTGGACTAGGATTAAATCTACAAGGTGCTAATCGAGTTATAATATTTGATTTCAAATTTAACCCTATAATGGAGGAACAAGCTATTGGAAGAGCGTACCGAATTGGTCAAAAAAAGCCCACCTTTGTTTATCGATTTATTGCAGGTGGTACTTTTGAAGACAGCGTTCACAACAAAACAGTAATTAAATCCCTTCAGTTCGGTGGAAAGTTTCTAACCGGTTTTCTCAGGTCTTCAAGACTCAATTAGCATCTAGAGTTGTTGATAAAAAGAACCCCATAGCTTGGGCTAATAAGAAAGCATCTGAGTTCTTATTTGAGCCTAAGACTGTGCCTGAAAAAGACTTATCAGAATTTGAAGGGATGGACCCTAGTGTGCTAGATCCACTTCTAAGGATTCAAAAAATAAAAAAACAGCAAGGGGTTCCCAGAACTATTTGTAGTATTGTCCAAACCGATACATTTGCCGTTGATGACAATGAAAAACTTACTCCAGATGAAGAAAAGGAAGTTCAGTCAGAGCTAGAAAAAACAAGGTTATTTCGGGCTAATCCTCAGGCGGCACTGATACAACAGATAAACGAGCAACAACAATTTCGTCAACAAATTTACCAATTAGGTACTTATCCATTTAACGAAATGCCTCATCTAAACTTTCATGGTGAAGTTAATCTAGATACACAGAGATTAGTCAACAAATTAGTTACGGTGCCAGCAGCACTCAATCCATGTCAACCAAATAATTGTAAGGAACATATAAATCTAGTTAGTCCCAGCGAGCCACAGCTTCCAAGTAAGACTAGCATATCCTACGCTAGGATGGCTGTCGGAAGAGCTCGCTCTCCCGTTGCTGGAGCTAGTACCAAGGTTTCGAATTCCGAACCTATAAATTTACAAGCGGTGCTAGCAAAGAAGAAATCAATCGAAGACTCCAAATCAACGCCTAAAGTAATCGAAGTAATAGAGGTGATCGAGGATGAACCTACTAAAAAGTTGAAATCTCCCGAAACAGAAATTGATATAGTTGGTGAGGCTTTGGCTGAGAGGGATCAGCTTGAAGACTTACCTGAAGCGTCGCCCTCGGAGATACAAATATCAGAGGAACCTAACCATAAGGTTTGTTAACTTCCCTCCCCAGGAGATGTTGAGTTAAAATAAATATTAGCAATCTAAAAAAAATAGTAATGACTGGGACATGACAAGGAGATATAGAGAAAGTCGGCCTAGTCATGTTCCCGACTACGGTCCTATAGCCATCTCTTCATTGACTAAAACAACTTCAGAACCAGGAACCTCTAAAGTAAGTTATCTTAAGTGTTCCCTTGTCTTCGACATACCTAAATATTTGAAAAAAATTTATTGTTTGGCTACAAGCAGATCCTTGATTCATACATGCGTTGGACATCTTAACATTTAAATGGACCATGATAAAAAGTTCTATGAATTATTAGCAAGTCTTTTTGCCATGTCTTACATACTTATTCGATTTTAGAATCCATTTCTTCAATCCACGTCTCGTAGACAAGGGATCAGCACCGCAAATCAAAATCAGACTCAAGGGGGTCATGAGCGTAATCATGAAAAACGAATCAGGGAAGAAATCAAAACTGGAGAGCATACAAAGGGTGATAAACCAGTTCAGGCTGATGAAAATATCAGAGCGAACCCAGTAAAGGCTTCTCATAACATTAATGTTTTAAAGAGGATTCAAATTCCACCTCAGGGTAAAATAAATTCCCTGCCACCACGCCCACCCACCGTTTCGCCACGAACGCCGCAATATCATCGATCTTTTGCGGCACCTAATCGGCGTAATGTCCCACCTCTACTCGCTCCAACGGGCCCTAGGGAGCTATTGGCCCCCACTGGTCCCAGAGATTTTCAGACTCGATCATTGAGCCGGTGGGAGGGCAGTAGAGCTGAAAGCCAATCCTCTTACCGCGAACAAGGCCACTCCCATGTAGATCGTCAGTTCTACTATCAGCCACCGCATAATTGAGAAAGGCGAGCTGTTTGTTTAAATAGCTTGTTTATAATCTTCAGGTTTTGTGTAAACATTTACTGCGACTCTTTAAAATCGGATATTGTTCGAGCCGAGGTCTTGGACTCAAAGGCTCAGTTTAGCGAGGCGTTGGTAGGATTTAATAGGTTTGGTGGGATCAAAGCGGGTTTCTATTAAGCTTGTGTGTGGTAGCAACATAACCAAGTATTTTCACAGTGGAGGCGTCGAAAGTACCATTAATTAGGTTAACACAAGTTATCAGAATGGAATAGTAAAATTGAGAGGTTAATACTAATTAACAGTAATTGGCAACTCAGCCCGCTAGTACAGAATACGTTCCAAATTGACAAATATAATGTCACTCCATCTCAGCCTGGCTCGATCCGCATTTGTGGCACTCAATTACACTATCACGATCGACGATCTTGTATGATCATGCGAATTTTATCCAATACACCAAACCCATTTAATAACCTTTATCTATCTAAACACAAGGTTACAGTAGAAAAATCAGGTCATAATTTTGGAGTATTAACACAACTTATATCATAAGCCTGGGTGGTTAAAATTCTTGGGACCAATACACCATGATGATCTGAATACTTCAGAGACATGTAACAGGTTAGAGTAGTTCCAATCCATGTTCAAAGTTAGATACAGTAGATGACTACAGAGGATTCCTGGTGATATGTCGGCATGGTATACTTAACCTTTTCAATTAGTTTCCAATCTTTTAAAACAATAAACGGCATTTTTCTGTTCGGTAGTTACAACTAAACCCAGATTTAGCTGTTGCCTTGAGCAGGAATATGATTAGTATCTTGTATTAGTAAGCAATTTAAAATTAATGCTGTTTCGAGGTTTCAAATAGATTTCTCTCTCATGTTGACATGGTTAGCATACGGCTTTGCGAAGCACTAATGATGAAACAAATACTTGGGCGATTATCAACTCTTGACCATTAGTTCACCATTCATACTAGGATTTTTCTCATTTAAATGTCCTTTAGTGGCTGAATTGACCTCAGAGCTTTAAAGTCGGACAGCAGAGTTGCTTAAAGGTACTACAATTGTCATAGGCGCATGATATGAACCGATACTTTGAAATCCCCTGCCAAATTTATTAGCAGGTTCAATGTGAGTTGAGGAATTTATAAACCTTGTCAAATCTATTCCTTGATCGTCATCTTCAACCTCTTCAACAGACGTGGGTAAGACTTTGAGCTCTGCACTTGCGCTAGTGTTATTATTTCTTGTCGGGCTCTTTGCAGGTGCAGGGCTACTGCTAGCTGGGACTCGAAGGCTGGGATCTTTAACAGGACTACTATCGAATGGACCACCTTTCATTGGTGTATTTCCGATATCTGCATATTTCCAGAAGGGCGCAGGAGAGCTGGTGGGCATATGTTGACTTGGTCTTTGTGCGGTGCTTGGTGGGGCAAGTTTTGGATGGACACGATGTGGAGCGGGGGTAACGAAGGTCGTATTATCTTCTGGCATATAACTTGACGATAAAGTAGGGGGCGACCCGGGAACATTATCGGACAATCCATAAGAGCGACAATGGCGTGGCAGAGGGCTTCCATCACCCGGAAGATTGTCAGGAAGAGACTGGCTTACTTTTGCATTACGATCTGGTGTGAGATGAGATGCGTGTAATAGATATGAGTTATTGGGGGAGCCTGAGCGTGATGACTTTTTCTGACGACGGGCTGAATAATCTGTGCAGTTACGGGATCCTCTGTGTAGGATTCCTGGTGAGCCTAGAGAGCCTCGGTGGCCTCCTCTGCCACCACGAACCGCGAGTCTTGCCATTTCGTCGCGGTGATCGTCTTTAATGTGCCATTTCATTCCCTTTCCAGGCTCATTTGTGTCTCTTGCAATTTTTTCAAACGCTTTATTGAGTGAAAGGTTGTGACGTATGGAATTCTATACTGGATTAGTCTAGAAGTATATAATATGTATTGTATATTTCACTTACTTGCCACCCGCCTCCTAGCTGGTGCCTGTAATAAGCGTACTTTTCCATTATAAAATTGTAGATGCCATTGAGCGTTAACTTCTCATCCTCTGTTCCCAGTATTGCTTGACTTATTAACTGAGAATAGCTATAGGAAGGCTTTATATGTTGATTAGAATCTTGACTGAGATCGATGTCATCAGTATTCATAAACATAGTATTTCCTGCAATACCACCTGGAGTATTCTTTCCGGGTGGATAAGGTCCCTTTGCTCCAACACTTACTGGGGTTTCTGGGCGTTTGTATTCGGGTTGCACGGGTATGTTAATAAGCGGACCACTTGATGGAACATTCTGATCGTGATTATTGGACGATTTTTCATCCTTATATTTTAATTCTTGCTGGGACCTAGTTAATTTCTCTTCTTCCGGCATCATGATAAGTCCAGCTCTGTTCAAATAATAATTTGAAATCTGAAGGCTACCATCTTGCTGAGGCAGAACAAACATCATCTCGACCCCTCCGATCTCGATTACCTCACCACTTACAAGAGCGTGGGAATCACCTCGCTTTAGGGCTTGATTGTTTATTTTAACTCCATTACGTCCATGTACACATACTTTCCAGAGTTCCGAGTCTGAATCGAACGAAATCTCGGCGTGAGTTCGAGAGATGGTCTTGCTCGGGCCAAGATCAACATGAACGGTATTACTATCTTCATAAGATTCATCAACCACACCATTTATTTCGGGTGCTGGTTCAGGAGCTAAGCATCCTTCTGGGGGGCGGCCAATAACATTCTTGAGCCTCTTTACATAAAAGGTCCAATCTCTTCCGGCTAATTTAGCGTATGCTTGCACACCTTGCTTGCTGTGCCTTATATGTAATGCATTTGCGTGATCGTGTGTAGCTTGTACTGTATGAGAGGGCACAAGAAGCGTAGGGACGATTGCGGAGATGAGCTCTTCGTCGCTCATTGGGATTTCTGCCCGGTTTCCAGGGAGCTTATCAAATTGCGAATTTTCGTTTTCAAATGGTTCATCCACCTGAGTATGTCAATAGTATGCCTAACCGGATGGGATAATTATCGACCTTTTTTCGCCTTTTTGCAGGACGAGACGGTGACGAGTCTGGTAGATCGACATTCCTGATGATATCTCGTCGATTTCGCTGAGATCTTTTTGAAGCTGGCATTTTAGCTATTTGAGTTGTTTCTATGGGTGATAAACAGTCACCACAAAGTACGGCTGTGATACGTGATAGTGTTAGTACGATATTAAGAGAAATTTTTGTTGCATTCTTGTTGTTGGAAAAAATTTGACTGGATTTAGAAGAAGAACACTTACATGACCTTCTCGGACCATACCATGTATGGCCTTTGGTAAAAAATGTGTAGTGCAGTGCTTAGACCTACTAAAATTGAAGATTTAATTGCGGTGAAGAGAGGATCCGTTAATATGCGCTTGGTGCACTATACTACAACTTGACCCTTACGACGCTCGAGCACGTTGCTTTTACACAACTGTATATTTTGTTGTTTCGGGCACGATTTAAGTAGATGATTGCTCTACGCCGTCAACAAGATATAAAAAAGCCGATGTGGGGTATCCCTTTGTGTGATCATCAATTTATGTTAATAGAACTGGTTCAAAGCCAGACAATATAAAGAGTCTATGCATATGATAATTTCACCGAGACAAGTGGATGACTTGTTAACCGAGGTTAAAGTTAGTAAACAGTAGATGGGCAGTCATCCTCTTTGGCAGTTCCAACACCAAATAGGCATATGTGGGGCTTCTCCTACAATTCTATTCGTCTGTGGATTCAATGATGGGCTCAATAATTTTTGAATCTAGAAAATTTTACTGAATAGCTTAATCGTTGGACGAGGTAGATAGGTGAACATCCACAAACGTTATCATCTTCTTGATTCTAGGCTCTCACGTGTGTCTATTATCTCAGGAATATCATAGCCATTGCCCGTGCGTAACCAATCCCAACCTCAACCGGTTGAAGCTCACGGTTATAAGCTACCTTGTAATATTAATTACATCGGCCAAGCTCGATAAGTGTTTGTACTTAATTGTTTAGTTTCCCGCATGAGCTATCGTCGTGAAACAAAAAAATGGCTCCTGTCTTATCCAGGCCCCGCCTTACACAGTGCTCCTACTTTATGTTGAGAGAAAATACTTCGGATGTGATGCCCATGATGGTCTGCCATTCAGCCAAATTTCTATTTGTTGAATTCAGCCACCATTTTTTGCAGGACGTTCTATTGAAAGAAATGTAGCGAGAGAGATGGGAATTTCTACGCACGGGAAAAAGTATTAAATACCTTACCACCTCAGCCAGGCAAGGCCTATACAACGAGATCACATGAGGTACGCATATTCATCCATATCTCCCTTCTTTGTAACAGTCGAGGCCAACATGATCCAATCCATCATCGCGGTATCGGACGCTGAGCACGCTCCTGAAAATCATTGGATGACTTTTCCTCCATGATCAAGGATTGGTGATGAGTAAGTCTTCCACTCTACCATATGATCTGATTGTGGTTAGCTACATGATAAAGATGATAGGGGGATGTATTGAGAGATGAAGACGATACAGACCGCGAAAGCGATTGGGAATCCTCGTCAAAGTGAGGACTTTGTTACTCAATCTCGGATATGCAGACTATGCAGTTAGAGCTGGAGGTTCGAAGGGGACACCGCTCATAGGGGATGAAAACAGTCCCTCTGTAAGGCAAAATTATACTTATTTGAATCTCTCTTAGAGTTGATTGAATTGATTATCCTCTACAATGAAGAATCTAAGTACTATATACATTTTGAGAGTAGTCTACTAATTCCAAATATACACCGACTATTAGATTGTCCATGCGAACTGCTTAAATCTCCGTTCCATACATGGTTCTAAAATTTACTGTGACATTATAATGGGCAATAGAAGGAATGAAACAAGGAGAGAGTTATGCGTGAGAAATTGGCCATCCGTCCAGTTGCTAGTTGTAGCATTTACGTGACAAAATTATTGCCCTTGATACATCAGCTTCATATACTCGGTTGTAAACTACACAACATAACCATCGTGATACCATATTTAAATTTAGTTTAATCTGTTTGACACCCCAATCCTTGAAGGTTCCACCGATCCTGTATCCAAAGTGGACTTAATACATTATTATTATTAATTCATTTTATTGTCCTGTCTGAGTCTATGACTATGTAGGACATGCAGGTCCTCTCAGCCTATAGGCCAAGGATACCTATACCAGTAGTATATCCCCTCCTATGCCTCCCATACAGCTCCCCTCAAAAAGTACGAGCCCTCACAAGTCCTCATTCGATCATACACTAAGAGGAGCCCTTTGCCCTTCAGTATCTCCCCTCTCCAGCCAACGAAACGATGGCCATTTGCGGGTGTATGGCAGCCGGGAAAAATCGCAAAAACCACTGGGTGCGGAGCTCTCCTAATACCGACATTAGGACTAAATCCGAAGACATAGTGACCCTTCCGAAGCGTTCGAAGAGGCCGACCAGCTGGGCGCTGCAGACTTGTGGGTACCTCGGGAAATTCACACTCTGCCTTTCTAGCCTCCTTCCAACTCCTTCCCGAAGGTCGTGCTGAAATGTCAGGAAAGTCTTGACAGAGCGTGATTGCTGTATAGCAGCTTAGCCCGACTTCTTTTGTACCGTCCAGGGCGCTAGGGAGTACCGTTGACTCATCGACAAAAGAAGTCCTGCTGGCTAATTAGTCGAAATCTTAGTCTTGGCGCCCACAAAAAATCCAAAGTTGAAAACTCCTCGAAAATGTCAGTCCCAGCATGGTCTTCAAAGGCCTGTTCCACTCTCGCTCCACTTCTAAGCCGCCTGTCATTCCTCAAGATGTACAACCCCATTAGAGCATCAGTCCTCCATAAGCCAAGACCCAGGCTTTGTATTTGTTGACTTGATTTCCTCCTTGCTGTTGGAAATTCTGACTCTCGAATTTAGGACTCAACCACTACCTGTTTCGTCTCAGGTTCCCGACAAGATCGACTCTCTCTACAAATGTCCCGAGTGCGCTAATCGCGCCTACTGTCGCCTATACGTTTGGATATTTACGTACTACAGTGTACCTAGGCTCATCATGGTAGATGAGAGGTGGCTGGCCATCACTAGATTTGACAGGCACATGAGACTAGTGGGAATTTCTCCCCTAAGATGTATATATAAGTCCAATGTTCACATAGTTGTAAAATATCAAGTCTTCTTTACTTCATCATATTTATCCATATAATATTGTACAGAGTATATTTTCCAACACTTGCGGGTATAAATAGCGTTGTAAATATGTAGTGAGAGGTTGCTGGAGATTAATTTGGCAAGCTCCTGTATGCAATTGGAGCAACTTCTTTGTTGGTCGTTGAGGCGAGATGATGCGTGGTTAGAGATGGGTTGAGGACTCAGATGATAATGATGAGAGAGGCATTGTCGAGAAGTCGTCAAATGGAGGTGTGTTTGAGGTTGATTTCGACTTCGATTTGGATGCGAATCTTCTTGGCTATCCCAGATATGCAGAACATACTGAGCGATTACACCGGCACCACTGGAAGGTGAAGAATTCGTCTTTGTTGGCGACTTAACACATTAGGCTAGGACCTAAACAATTCAAGAAAAATAGAGGCACCATTCGAAATGTTATTTTATTTTTTTACTCTTTTTCCTTCACTCACGAACTCGTCGCATTTATCTTTGAATTCTGATCGAACTTCAGTTATTTTCACCATGTCTCTCGTTCGTAAAAAGCGCCTCAACGTCACGTGGGACAATAGGAGTCTGCCCGAGGACTCTCGCATAAACGCCGGGCCTTGCTAGTCTCAAAAATGCGTGGAGATGAGCAAGGCCTCGTTTAAAGGGAAGGAAAAAGTCCTCCCCATCGACGCTGAGCCCAATACTGACATGATCGGGTCAAATGAAATTGTTGAGGAAACTCCTTAACCAGTCTCCGTCCCCCACGGCATTAGAGAATCATCCAAACCTCTTCCGACCCCATCAAAACCATCTCAGAGGAGGGCAAAACTGAACACCTGTACGCGGTGTCCTAAGCAACTGTATGCAATCTACACCCTTGGTAGTCTCCATTTTCAATCGCCTCCACAGCGATCTAACACCCTTACCTCACTTCAACACCTTATCAATCTTTATCTTCCTACCACCTTCGAGAGATTCAAACCCGTGGACCCATCGTACCCTGGCGACCATGCCATTGGTACGAGTTACGAAACGCCAGCACTCGCTGGTAGATTACTCCAAGCTCCGACTACGGTCGCGCCTATTGGAGTACGGCATCACCATTGATGAGATGGACATTGATAATGCCGAAGCTGCCATCACCACCAAAGTGATAGATGCCCCGGAGATCGAGATAATCGACAGGCCCGTCGACGAATTCGTCACCAAAGGTCTATCCGACTCCATATGGGCTGTCCCAACTAATTCAGGCAGCTCTGAGCCAATTCAGCAGACGGAGAAATTGATCCTGTCGCCAACTACTCCTAGGTTGTCAACAACCTTATCGAGAAAGATCGCAGCCTTGCCCACAAGGCTGCCAGAAAATGAAAAAATCACCATGGCTCCATCCAATGCCGCCCGTGATGAATCCCTGGAAAGAGGGAGTGATGCAGAGCAGGAATCGAACACTTCTATTATCCCAGAAGAGATGGCCGTCCTTGTCGAGAATGAAAAACGACGGGCAGCAGAAGCAGCTGCCAATATCTCAATTTGCTCCTCGACCATCAACGTCGTGGAAAAACACCTTTCTCCCATGCTAACAAGAGAACATAAAAACTTTATTGACTCCTTTCGAGTCTATCTTCGGGCATCCATTGCCCAATTCATGCAGGTAGGGCCCGGGGCCGCCCCACTAGTACTGCCTAAAGTGCCAGCATTTCCCCAGGCAAAGCCCACGCCTGTGGAAACTCACCGACCCAGCACTGCGGCTCCCAGTGGTTCTAAAGCTAATTCTTGGGCCGCTATTGTCGGAAAAGAAACTCGGAGAGAAGGAGCCTGGGATAAGGAAACTCGGTCAAAGCTAACTAGTCCTCCAACTGCAAAGATTTTATCTCGTCCTGGTCATAGATTGAAGGAGCCAGAGGGAAAGAAGAAGGATGGTCTACACCTTCGGATCCCCAAGAATCACGATTGGAGGTCACTTTCGACTGCTGGAATTCGGGTAGCAGTCATTAGTAAGTTTGGCTGTTCCCCAACAAACATTGACAAGATTTTGCCAACAGCAGCTGGCTTCGATCTCATTGCCAAAGATGAGGATGCAAGAAAGCTGCTCTTGAGCTGTGCGGGCCGCCTTCTGCAAGACATTA